CAATAATCATAGCATGTACCATCAAAGTGTGATGGTTTGCCCCTAACATGGTTGAACACTATTTAAGCTGTATTTTAACACAGAGGTTGTTAAACCTTTATTCAAACAGTGACCACGGCTTTGATACCACTTGAAAGGTCCTAAATGGTTAGAGGGGGTGAATAGCCTATAAAAATCTCTACAAATTCACTAGAGCAATTGATTAGTACACTAAACGGCGTAATGCAATTTTGCTCTACCTCTACAAGAGTTGCAAGCCACCTATCCAACAATTCTAGTTGCTATGATCACTAAGCACACAAAAAACTATGTCACTACTCTCTAAGCTAGTGTGCTCTCAAAGACTAACTAAATAGCTACACTAACCAAACTAACAAGCTCGTACAACTAGCTACACTAAAAAGCTTGACACTAGGCAAGAAAGAAAAGAATGTAAATACAAGAGAGAGTAGGGTGATTATACCACCGTGGCAAGAGTGATGAACCAATCAATGTGAATACCAATCAAACACTGGGAGAATGCCAATCAAAATAGACATAAGATTTTTCTCCTAAGGTTCACATGCTTGCCGGCACGCTAGTCCCTGTTGTGTCGACCAACACTTAGATGGTTTGGCGGCTAATTGGCACCACACCAAGCCTTCACTAGGCACCGCAAGAACCTACCACAAGTGAGGTAACTCAATGATACGAGCAATCCACTAGAGTTACCTTTTGGCTCTCCGTCGGGGAAGGTACAAGGCCCCTCACAATCACCGGAGATGGCCACAAACAATCACTAACTCATGTCAATCCTCCTTCGCTGCTCCAAGTCATCTAGGTGGCGGCAACCACCAAGAGTAACAAGAAATCCGCAGTCACAACGATCCCCAAGTGCCACTAGATGCAATCACTCAAGCAAATGCACGAGGAATCACTCTCAATCTCACCATGATGATGAATCAATGATAGAGATGAGTGGGAGGTGTTTGCTTAGGCTCACAAGGATGTATCACTGATGAAAATGTGCAAGAGTGAGCCAAAGCCAAGCCAAGTCAATTTATAGAGCCCTCAAGGCTCTACTAGCCGTTAGACCTCGGAAAAGGCCGTCGGACGCAACTCCATGGGGTGTCAGACCGTCCGATGCCCTACCACGACCACTCCAGAGCTGCCACATGTCCTGTTTGAACAAGACAACCATTGCCACCAAAGAGCGCGCCGTTGGACTCAGTCAGGAGCCATGTCGGACCCGCCAACGTCTTGAGTCCGACGCCTGCAAAACTACACCGAGAGGGTCCAGAGTCAGTTTTTCAGTCGGACCCTGGTCCGATGCCTACCGTCGGACCCAGGCGATGGTCTGATGCCTCCATGTGTCATGCTCATGTCAACCTCCTCGTTAGCTGGCCACCGTCAGACCCGAGGAACAGTGTTCCCATCGCGTCCGACGCCTCCTCCTTGCGTGGTCCAACGCTGCTGTGCCCGTGCCTGAGAGTTAGGGTTGGCCGTCGGACCCGGCCAGGCAAGGTCCGACGCCTCCTGAGCCAGGGTCCAACGACCCTGCTCCTCTCCTTTCCTTTTTTCAACACTTCAACCACTTTACCCTTGCTTCCAAGTTGCTAACCACAAAGTGTACAACTTATGTGCACGTGTGTTAGCATTTTTCAAAGCATTTTACAAGGGTTAATTGTTAGCACACTAGGTCCCTAATGCATATGCATGAATCATATTACCTAGTGGCACTCGATAACCGCTTAGCCAAAGATTTCCCATCTTTATAGTACGACTATCGAACCTAAACACACACACCCTCTATGGTGTCTTGAGTGCCAAAACAAAAACCTATTTGATACATTTGCCTTGATCTCCTTGGTTTTTGTTTTTCTCTTTCTTCTTTTCCATGTTGGAGCTTGATCACCATCATCACATGTCCATCTCCATGGACTTCCAACTTGCTCCATCACTTGGTGTGTACCAACCTAGCTCATGATCACACTAGATAACATAGGTTAGTACTTAGGTTTTATCCATTATCCAAAACCAAACTAAGGCTTTCACGCGCCTGCACCACGATGCTACCCCATCTACCGGCCGCCGGCCAGCCACTGCCCCACGCCCATTTGCCCACGGGTGGTCAGTCGCCGCCAGGTGCCCAAGTGCGCCTGCTGAGGAGCAGCCGAGCAGGAGCGGCATCTGGCGATGGACGGAGGAAGAGAGGAGGGGCGTGAGGTACAGGAACCTAGCGCCGTGACTTGAAGAATTTGACAAGTAATTTTTGTGCAGACTTGAAGAATTATCAACAAGACACTAATTGATATTCATTCAATCTATAGGTTCACCCATTCTTAGTTATTTGTATTTTGCAATGTATGGATCAAATGATCAAGAACTACTAGTTTATTCTTGAAATTTGAGGTAACACCTTGTGTTTCTCATATAGTTTTTCACCATAATTGTTTGATAGCATCGTTTTCGCCATGATTTGTGTGATTGTAGTATGTGAATGCGGTACGTAGTGAATACGGTGCCTTTTTGCTGGTTCATTTTCATCCCACCTATAATTTTTTTCTGGCTCTGTTTTTTTTTTGGCTCCGTCACTTATGGAGAATTAGTAGTATGTATTAAAACCCTTAGTATGACAATGTACGATTTATTGCTGTCATGTTATCCTTCACGAGTTCACGTAGTGGGACGACACACAGGTGGTGTGGTCCGAGGGATGACTAGGTTAATTAGGTTCAGCCGAGCGAGTCGAGTAGTTGATATGACAGTCATTTGCATTGAATATATCCACTCTCCGATCGAGCAGACTTTGAGGTCATCTTGTGATGTTATCTGCCATTTGAAACCACAAGCAAACTTGTGTGTATTCCACTACATTGAATATTTCCACCCTTGGATCAAACGGACTTTAAAACTTGAGTGTATTCCATTATACTGAATATTTCCACCCTCGGGTCAAACGGACTTTGATGTCATCTTGTGATGTTATCTGCCATTTTACTCAAGAAGCAGGACATGACGGACAGGTTATTTTCTGCTAGCTGAAAGCTAATGTGTGATTTAAAACTGTATAGGTGCAAAACAGACAAGTACATATATGTGACCACCATTTTTACAGATCCAGATCAAACATTCCGATGAACTCCTGCGCTTGAGAATAGATTACAAACGGAACCTACCATTTAACAGTCACTTGACCAATTTGCGAATGGAACATTGTATATCCTCATCAATGGATCGCCTGGTGCTTGGTAGCTAGGGCCAATTTTCTATTCTAGATTTCCATGCCACAAGATCAATAAGTTTTTAATTATATAACTAACAAATGGATAACAGCTGCACCGGCAATAGGGTATAACTTTTAGATAATGACAAGAACGGTACAAAGGGAAAATGTAATCTCTAAGTGAAGGCTGGAGATCCTAGAATTTTGGTTTCGAACAATAATCTTGCATTATAAATCAAGCGAGACAATGTGAATCGATGAAGCTGAATTGTATATATGCTTGTACCTGTAAGAAGGCAATTGAGCCCATATCAAGTACTGCATACATTGCCCTCAGGAGCTGAATTTTTAGATCTAGGTTCCTATATAGTACGACCACCTGCAGAGACATTCAACTTTCATTGTCCCTTCTGCAACCTGTCGCAGTAAGCTGCTAGAAAAAAGAGCAGAGCAAAGTAATGCACTGAACGATTGCAAATTTCTGCACTACAAACTCCCCTCCCCTTTTTTTCCCCTCCTCACAGCAGCAAAGTGGATTGTAGAACTACACATGACTCTAGATCGATGGATCTCTTCTCGGCTTTGAGAAGTGTCCAAGATGATAGGGCCTGCAACATCTACACTGCCCGTTGTAACTCTAAATGCACTTATTTACCAGCAGAAATCTAAATGTGCTTGAGCTCAGCAGATCAAATAAAAGAGCTCAAAGCATCGTATGATACACTGTTTGTTGGATTATCTGTACATTGGTGAAGTTGAGAAACTTTGAATTCGACACCCTTGCAGATTTCTGAGAGAGGAGGTTTGGCATACCCCCCTAGTACTCCTTGAATGACAACTTTGTAACTCGCCTCAGTGAAGTGTAGACCATCCCATGAGATGTATTTTGATGGGTCAGGGCACACTGTAGATCCTGGACGCCCGCACAATATTGAAGGGGAACAGTTGTACGGAGCGTCACTTCCACAGCACGAATTCAGTGGGACTGTGAAACCTGCAACAGCATCTCTTGTTGCTTCGTAAATAAAACAAAGGTAAATAGAATAGCTTTGTTTCTCTAAGCCTCTCTACGTAGGTTCGTTGTGCTGGGTTACTGCAGCCTATTTAGATATGATTGAGCTTCAGTGCCACTGTTCAATTATGTAATATTCAGATGATGAGATATGCTCCACAGGTGTAGGCAACAAAAAGAAAACCATAGATTCAAGGATGAGGATGGTACTGAAATTTATGTCAAATAAGAACACAGAATCAGGCTAAAATTTTGACCAATAATTAGTTACAAAACATGGATTATTTCCGACTATTTTGGTTTAGGTGCCACTCTAATAAGAGCTAAGCATACGTAATGAAGCACTGTAGAACAGTTCAAAGTTGATTCGAATCTCTGCCTGTAGGTTGCAGACTGGATTGACAAGTAATTGAGCCATGTTAACGTCTAACACAGATAAAGTAGTCCAGTCACATAGCCAAATTATTGCTTAAAGAGTGTAAAGTTTTGAATCTTGATACGCATAAACACCTTATAAACTGGACCAGAGGGAGTAGGTATGAATTATTAAGATGAGTCCATTGCCTATTTACCAAGTTATACAAGCTAATCAATAAAGTGATAATAATATTATCCACAACCAATTTAGAGGCTCATCCTGTCTCCAGAGAAAGGAGGATCCATAAGATTAAGCAAGACTTGCATATCGTTCACAACTTATAGCACAAACCAAACAAAAATAAAGGCTATATGCTCTGATTAGCACAAACTATCATGTATATCTTGTGCATAACCAATTAAGCATCAGTTCTCTACAACTAAAGGTCATTCATGAACAAAACGTAACATAGTTCAAATTCAACTTGGAGATTCATGAACTAAGGCTAAGGTAAATGAACCAAGCAATACTTGACCTACAGCAAATTGCAAAGCCTTCAACAAAAACAATGCATGTGGGCATAATAGAAAATGCACATATGTGAATTCCAAACCTAACAAAAGGATACATATGGCACCATGTGAAACAAAATGGACACGGAACAGTAATAATATATATATAAGGAACATGCTGAATCTTCTTTTGTTTTTTTCCCAAACAATGTACTGTGCAATCAAGAAATCTGGAAGCTAGATCATGCCAGATCCTTGAACATGTGACAGTATTTTCACTTTTTCAGAATTTTTGAAACATTTCCATGTATCAAACAATATGACAGGTGTAATCACCCACTTACAACATAAAGTTAACATCACTTATATTATTATTTTTTATTTAGTTTGTTTTGATTTGAAAATGGTACTTACCAAACTGGAGTGGGGCACGGAATATGTTCAATGCAGCACCATAATAATCAGCATAAATGATGGTCACATCAGGGTGAAGATTCCTGAGTTTCTCCAACTCCTCCTGAAGCATCCTATTATGGTACTCAGCAAATTCATTGAGCCACTTAATGCAGCCTGTTTGTTCCTCATAGTAATCCTCCTTTTGGCTCTGAAAGATTGCAAGATATAATGGGACACACCCTATCGGGAAGTTCCCTGGAACAACTAACTTCTTTGCTCCAAAATTTATAAGATCCTGAAAACATGCAAACTCTTAATGCAAATGCATACAGGCTCCAAACATTACCTCGCTGGAAAGGGGGACACACATACATACCGTGATGGCCGAGCTTATGGCACCAACAACATTAGGAACAACTTCATGTAGCTCATCAAGAGATTTCTCCCTAACGATTAAATGGTTGTAATCATTTCCGCCGACCTCTCCAACAAAGAAAAGTGAATTGGACACTATTTCCTTTTGCTCTACATACAAGTAAAATTTCAGTGGATTGAGTTTTGAGAACTCCAAATTGTGTTGTGTGTGTTTGATGACAACTAATTCCATGAAACCAACTACGGCACACAATAGTGATTCTCGTATAAATTTTGGAGGACGTTTTTGCAATATCATTAATTAATACAGCTAATTGTATTAGCTAAAACAGTCAAATGAGACAACATTCATTTCAAAACTTGGTAAATATTCTGTGCCTTCCCTTGAAAAAACAGCAAACGATTACTATCTAATTTCTTGACAATTGTAACAAATGTCTTGGTGCTCAAAACAACCATAATTCCCACCGCATGCCTGTCATAAGTCCATAGCAAGCCACCAGATCACATTTCAAACTTAAAAACATACGTTTCACCCCAGGGGCGTCCCTAGGCCCGTACAGGCTGTGCGACCTCTCAGGCCCCCCAATGCTAATATAAGTACCATAAGTATATATTATGAATTAAGCTTTGTTTTAAGTATCCAAACTAAGTCTAATACATAGTTTATTGTGGCGATCAATGGTTTCTACATCCATGCATTGTGCTTCTCGGTTCTCATGAACGGCGAATCTAAGAGATAGTTACTTGATGTCTAGTTCTAATCGATTGTTTGTCAATGCATACTATTCTACAATTTTATACAACACATTATATTTTACATTGTTTTTTATTTTGACATTTAATATTTAGGCCTCATTTAAAGTTTCGCTCAAGGACTCCAAATTCAACGGGACGCCACTGTTTCATCCCAATAGAAGGCTCAACAAAGTAAATTTTGCTTCTCATTTATCAGGTGAATGTTTGCTACAAGTCAACTACAATCTCTATCAACCATAAAATAAGCAAAACACAGTGCTCAGTTACCCAGTTAGCCAGCATGTTTTTCAGCACGCCTGCCACTACTTTGCCATCTTTATTAGCATAATGTAAAACAACCAATCAGATGTTTCATTAATTCATTGACATTATTACTAAACCTGTTAACAGGTAATGATTCCATTTCATCAAACACCTTGCAGGAAAAGGAACTGTGACCAAACAGATAACTCAGGAAGTCACTTACCTGTCTCAGACGATGCAATGGATGGGAGAAGCTTCTTGAACCATAGCATCTGCTCATCAAGGGAATGAGGTGTCCATGTAGGCTCCACGCCACGTTCACGGAAGAATGAGCCATTGAGGGCAGTTGCCCCGCCGACCGCAAAGTTTGCACCATTCTGGAAGTCCCCTCCGCCAAGGTATGGTGGCACATACGGCAGCCCAAATGCCTCCGCTGCATGTAACAAGAGAACAAACACATGTCAAGAACACAGTTAGGACAGTGGACAGGACAAGTAATCAGATGTGGAAACATGAAAAGGCCCAGAATGATAAATGAGTGGGAAATGAAAGGCTGATATAATAAGTGTTGACCACGTGATGAGTGCCACCAATTTAACTGGTAGTTGGAGCTACCAATTGTGTGCTAGTTCAAGGAGATGATGCCACCAGTGTCTAGTGGTTGGGGAGAACTGGGAAAGGCAACCAACTTATGCTGATACACCCTGTATAAGCTGGGTATTTGCAGTAGAATGTTTCTTCCCAGCTCTTGAGATCTCCAGATTTCATTATATGTGACTAGAATATAATATTAGAAAAGGCAGAGAGATGGTTGCAGCTGCTTATAATCCATGAATTCTGAAACCGAGCATGTTCTCGCATGTGCTTAGAAAATATTCCATTGACCCCATATGGACGTTTCCAGCTGCAATTAGAAGGCCTATTTTTGTGCAAACGCCACAGTTAACGCCACCTCAGTAAGAGGAACATGTTCTAGCTGGAGACAGGGCCCAAAAAAAATAGCATAACTGGCCATACTATATTCGCCTCACCACCACCGCCGCTGGCGGCGCCTCCTAAAAAGGATCGATGACCAGTCTATTGCTTGAAGAAAAATCAAACGGCGACTTAGCGACTCCCATCCCCTGCCATCATACGGTGGACGAGTACGCGGCAAGGAAGGAAAGCGAAGAGGAAGGCAACAATCAATCCAATTAGGCAGACTTGACACCACAAATACAGTATATTTCTACAAATTTTTACTATTGCTGTAGGGACAAAATCCATGGAGTAGTAGTAAGTTTTGAATTCGCACGGAAAAGTCCTGGAGATTCCATCGCCATTAATCAGGACGAACGACGGCGAGGACGAGCAGCAAGCGCTGATAACAAACACGTAAGGCAAGGAGACAGTTGGAGGTTACCGAAGAAATCGAGCAGGTTGCGGCCGTCGGAGTATCGGCCGGAGGGGCGGCCGAAGAAGGTCTGGCCGTAGGGGAGGTTCCGCGCGGGGTCCGGGAAGTCGTCGGGCACGGAGAGCAGGAAGTTGCCGGTATCCGTGAGCGAGTCCCCGAAACTGAACACCCGGTCGAAGCAGACGCTCCCTCCTCCCGCTCCCGCTACCGCCGCCGGCGCTGCCAACACCACGAGCACCCCCGCGAAGAGCAGAGCCGCCCGCGACGGAAATGCCATGGCGAAACGACGGGCCGTGCCGATCCGGAGCAGAGGGCGGGTTCCAGAGGAGGGAGACGGAGACGGCGGGGTGGCCGTTGACATGGGTGTGGGGGAGGAGGGGGAACGGACGAGGGAGGAAGACGGAGGCGGAGGGGCAGCGGTTTTAAAGGGAGGGCCGGAGCGGACGGCGGAGCCATCCATTGATCCGCACGCTTTTTTCCAGTTTGCTCCTCCTATTTGGGAAACATTTTTTTTCGTTTTTTATAGAGTTTTATTTAATAGTGTATCTATTTACTTCCATTTCATGCCACGCTTTTGTTTGTAAGGAGTGTTGGGGATTTGATTTGATTTGATTTTGATCGGCTGCCATGTTTTTCTGAGTTTTGGGGATTTGAATTTGATTTGATTCGGCTGTCATCTTTTTCTTTTCCGGACCCACGCGTGGCGTGTGGCGGCCGGCGGTTGGGCGGCCGCGGATCGGCCCCCGTCCGTCCATCGGACCGCGGCGCCGCGCGACGATTTCCAGCTTGGCGCGGCTCGTCTCGGCTCGGTCGGGTTCTCCGCCCTCGCGCTGGCGCTTTCTGCCGCGGCGGCATTTTTGCGTCTGTTCGTTTTCTGTTTGCCACGGCGACGTCATGCGCGCCGCACGATACGGGCGATTTGGATCTGGCGCGACTCCTGCCGGATCAGGTGGATCGGACGGATCACGACAGGTGACTTGGCGTTCGTCATCGTGCCACCGGTTCCCGTTGTCCGTCTCGGTTCTCCTGCGAGCCACGGCGAAGAGGTGTGCTTCCTACTCCACACGGCCTTTTCGTCATTTCGCGCACCGTCGTCCTGTTCATTTGGGCTGATTTGGCATATAAGTCAAATGCCTGAAAGTATTGTTGGCTGGTTTGGTGTGAAAAAAAAATATTGTTCGTTTGTCGATAAGACACGACTTATAAGCCAAATACGACTAGAAACGAGCAGCAATTTGCGTGGTTGCAACCTACACGGCGTTACACACTCCACCAGAGCTGTCTATCTGTCTGTCTCTGTCTTTAAAAAAATCAACTTTTAGAATTATAATAATTCAAAATATTTATAAATTTTGATTAACTTTGTATTATTAGAAAGAATACTAATATCTATGATACCAAATAAAAATATATTTTATGGTGTATTTAATCATACTAATATTGTTTCTATTTAATTAAATTTATAAAACTTGATTTAAGATAACTTTTAACAAGTTCATTTGTTTTAGAACAATAGAAGTACTCACTTCATTAAAAAAATATAATTATAGGATTCTATGCAGGTCAAACTAGCTTACATTTGACCAGTTTGAAGTAAATATTATTAATATTTATGTCTCCAACTAAGTTTATAAAACATATCTCATAATTAATGTTAGTAATTTTTATAATTGTGGTTAAACTTCTAATAATTAGACTCCTCGAAAATTGAGAATTGTATTTTTTTTGTAAGGATGAAGAGAGTATATCTTTTCTCTTATCTTTTCAGTCTCTCTCCTTACTTTGGCATAGCCACATATAACAATTGGCATTATGCAATACAATCGCCAGCAAATAAACCACATGTTCACATCATATACAGTACAGTTCCGTAATTAAATATATGGAAAACACGGGTTGTAGATGTTGATGGTTGTCGTCCTTTTTTTTTTTGAAATGAAAGGGCATCGTTGTCGTCCTAATCTTGTATCGAATGGTGATTGAACTCGGTCCCCTTCACCTCTCCTCAAAGGCTCAAACCTGGCCGAGTGGCAGTAAATGGCCATCCGAGTATCCTTCACTCCTAATGGTAGCAGGCAAAAAAAAAAAAGGTACACGTGTAAGATGCTTATAAGGATAGATACACTTAGAACGTCTGAATTCGTATGGCTACTGCTTGCTAAAAAAACTGTGGAATTTTCATATTGTTTGTAAATGCTAAAGTCACTCTAAATCTACAACTATAGAAATCATAGACTTAAATCTAGTGAAATGACTAATTCCCTACGCCCACAGGGGCAAGGCGACACAGTGGTGCTTGCATCGCACCGCTTACTAGCCCTCTCCTCGGCGTCTCTTCACCTTGTCTGCTGCATAAGCAACTTGCTAGCTCCAACGAAAAGTAGTGGTGGGTCTCCTTTGGCCCCTCCCTCCTATGGCGCCCCATTCAGTCCCTATGGATGGTGCCCAGATTCGTCGCAGTCTGCGGCTGGATTCGGTATCTTCAAGGCGAGAGGACACACGGGGTCCCTTAAGCCAGACTTATCATGCACTACTACACTCGGACCTTTTACAGATACGTCGTAACCCCCATCGCAGCCGCATTTCGGCCTCGGACGGTAAGGTGTCGATAAAGTGATGGTCATAGCCTTCACCATCGCCATCCGGGACCCGACTCACGGTGTACACTAACACCGCCGATTGGCTTATGATTAAATCCGTGATTAGATCCTTACTTTTCGTCGCATTGGAGCACGACCCACCGTGGAGCTACACTAACACCCACCGATTGGCAAATGATCCGCCTATGTCGAGGCTATCAAAACCGTCGTGGTGGGCACATCAACCGCCTATGTAGTGATCACCAAGACCATCGTCTTGTACTTCGACCCGATCATCAACGGTGTGGGTTCATCGTCGCTTCGACGGCCGACACGCGCTGTGTAGAGGTTAACACCACCATCGCTTCAACATATGATCCTCCAGTACAAAGGTCATGGTCACCGTCGCCTTGCACCACGATCCGCCTTTGATGATCATTTAGTCGGTGTCGGGTTACTAAAGGATTCGGCGGTGATATACTTTGATCCCTGCCGCATCATACGTATAGCGACGGTGACAGAATTTCATCCGGTTTCACAATAGTTACTAATTCAGCTGGGCCCTTAATAGCTTTATGAACACAAATCATACAGATATATAATCATTACATCCATAAATCATGTTCACAAACAAGAGTACTTTTTACAATAACAATGGACGCTATCATAACATCTTTCTCAACTGATGTCCTAACACAAGCGGTACATAGAGCACACTAAAGGTACCGATCTATACAGACTTGCATAACGAAACGACGTAGTTATGCTCCTTCTATGTGGCATTCCTACTTGCAAGGCAAAATAAATATAATTAGTGCATCCTTCGGATTGGTAGCCAATGCACCACGGAACCTCTCTTATTCATCTCTGATCCACAACCTGAACAAAGCAGTAGAATTAATAATATTAAATATACCATTCCTTTAGTTAACAAGCCAAAGGTGGCCTATACATAGATAGAATGAAAACAATTGCCTACCTAAATAAAGCCTGTCGTGACAACGAAATACATGAAATGTACCTTTACTGCTCTGCTAAAGACTCCATGAACAAGGGAACATAAGGAAGATGGTAAGGCCTGTTCATATGGAATGAGCTCGGTGTTCCGCTTCGGGAAGGCAAAGCGAAAGGAAGGAGGTGCGGTGGAACGGTGTGGCCACGGTGAGCCGAGCGCGCGGTGGCGCTCCGATGAGTTCATGGCGACGGCGATGCAAAATGCGCCCTTACCCTGGCTCGGCAAGTGGGGCTAGCGGGTCGGGGTGGAAGAGGTGATGATGGCGAAGCTGCTAGCGACCTGGATTAGGCGGTGGTGCAACGACGACGGCGCGCGAGCGGGTAGAGCATGGTGGTGGCGGCAATGGCGAGCTCGGCGTTCCACTTCGGCAAGGCAGAGCGAGAGGAAGGAAGTGCGAGCGGGTGAGTGGAGTGAGCAACAGGGGCGCGACATCTTTGTGCACGCTTCGACCAGACCGGCCGGGCCATCGCCGGTGTACGGCCGTCACGCGGCGGCCACGGCCTGTGGCGGTCGGCCACTGATGCGCACGTGGACGCGGCCATCAGAGCTGATGACAACGCCTGACAACCCAACTTTGTGATCGTCAAACCCCAAATCCGTGGCAATTCAGTGAAAACCATAATAATCAAAGTTGTAGAGCTACATACAATCTACAATTTTGCTTAAATGAGTTCAGTAGATCGACCTAGTTTACAAACTACAGCGCGTCAAACACATGTACATTGAAACTGTAAACCACTTCTAGACTTAGAAAATTTTCAAAGTCAAAAACAGTAATTCTTTTGCTACTTGTGAGCTATTTTTGAGCCTGCTATGCACCAAATTAGATCTTGACCCAAAAATAAAAGTTGTTACTCTAGTCAAGTACTACAACTTTGCTTAAGGATACACAGCCATGCAAAGTCTGTAGAGCATAGTTCAACTTAGGTCAAACATATAACTTGAAAATGGTAGCTTACACTATAATCATGACTTAGAGACCAAATTGGTCCAAGTCATGAATACCAAAGTTGTTCCATATGACATTCTAAACATGTTAAAGGTACTCCTAGGGTCCCACAAGCATTTCACACATTGATTACATGTAAACCCTAACCTAGGTATAAATTCAAAAGGCATAACATGTGATATTTTGACATGCTCACGCTCATGAATGCTCAATGATGCTTGTGCTCATGCAATGCCAATGCCAAATGTATGCTTAACATCAAGGTGTTACAACCCCTAGCTGCCAAAACGTAAGATTGCTCGCATTGAAATGGCTTCTTTCGAAGTAAGACATCTGTTGCAATGAAGAAATTCCTAATACGAATAAAACTGATACCAAACCCAAAACCAATTGGAACCAAATGCAAACAGGCAGGGTGACCGAATCCATCTAACCTTCACGGGGCGTTGTCCACGACGACAATGCAAGGTGCTCAAGGTAGGGCAAGTACAAGCGACGACTCAAAATAAAGATGAAGCAACGGGTGGGGAGAATAAAGATGAAGCAACAATGGGTGGGGAGAACTAATTCGTATTGGGATTTTTTTAGTTGGTTTAACCGCCGCCAAGGCGCCAATAGGACCCGAAGGGAGTTGGGAATGGGTCGGATGCTTCTAGGTTTGTTGCCAAACGGACGATCCAGATTAATCGGCAGCGAGAACGGACAGCACGGGATAAGTTAAACAGTGTCCGTATTAAGCCGACCACTGCCACGCTAATCCAACGCTATAATACGGCTAATGTCAGCGGTTAAACTACTTTTAGATGCTCTAGAAATAA